GAGAGAGAAGTTCCTAAGGGGGAAAAGGGTGAAGCCACTAACTTTGGAGCAATTGAAGTCCTGGTATCTCCTTTAGCAAGGAGAAACAGATCAGAAAAGCTGCTGGAGGACCAGACAGAAGACTGAGAAGGCCTGTTTGATTGGCATTTCCCCAGCAGGAAGACAAGAACTGTCTGAATTCTGCTGAGGACACCAAGGGGAAAAAAAACCCTCTTCCTGTATTTGAGGAACTTCTTGAAAGTTTTACAATATTTGCTCAATTTGTGTGTAGCTGCCCATCCCACAAACAGGATAGCGTGCAATGAATAAATAAAGAATAAAAGAAACTAAAGGGAATGTGTGCATAAAGGAGATAAATTATTTCCTTTTCTTTATACAGATTTATTTCCCTTTTGTTTCCACGAAGGAGCTCAATCATGCATGAATCTAGCATACAACGAATACAGGTAGTCCTCAACTTAATGGCCACAAGCTGACCCCAAAACTTATGTTGTTAAGCAAGTTTTGCCCCGTTTCATCTTTCTGGCCACATTTCTTAAGCGAATCGGTGCCATTGTTAAATTATTACATTCATTTGCCACCCGCCTCGTCATAAAAATGACTGTTCCGTGCTAAACCACGTTTCCTCCACGTTTCCATCACATACCTGGTGCACAATATAAATTCCGTAATGTAGCTGTTGGCGCTGGAGGAAAGGGTGTAGGTAGTACAACAGGTGTCGGAGGTGAGTCTCCCGGTTGCGGTGGGGGATGATGATGGCCGTCCGGGAGCGGGACTCACAGTTGAAAGGACGGTATCTGCCTCCTAATTCGATGGCCGGGTTTTTCTCCTGAATCTTCTCCAGTGTGGGCACCTGGCTGAAACTCACCATCAAAGGGCCAACTAAAAGGAACCAAAAGGATAGATAGATGATAGATAGATAGATAGATAGATAGATAGATAGATAGATAGATAGATATAAAGAGATAGATAGACAGACAGACAGACAAAGAGATAGATGATAGCTAGATAGATATAAAGAGATAGATAGATAGACAGATAGACAGATAAAGAGATAGATGATAGCTAGATAGATAAATATAAAGAGATGATAGATTGATAGATAAAGATAGATGATAGATAGACGGATGGATAAAGAGATGATAGATTGATAGATAAAGATAGATGAAATAGATAAAGATAGATGATAGATGATATAAAGATAGATGATAGACAGATAAAGAGATAGATGATAGATAGATAGAGATGAAAGATTGATAAAGATAGATAGATAGATATAGATAGATAGATAGATAGATAGATAGATAGATAGATAGATAGATAGATAGATAGATAGATAGATAGATAGATAGATAGATAGATAGATAGATAGATAGATGATAGCCTTCAAATTGGAGGTCCTCGCCAGTGACTTTTGGGGACACCGAGGCAGGAAGGTCCATCCTACTCACTCAGGTGTGGGGACCGATCCGGGCAGTAGGGCAAGGGTCTGCTGGTGCTGGGCCGAGGGGGCAGCTGGAAGACCAGGCTGAAGTTGGTGTAGACGTCGTGCGTGCGGGAATAGTCGAAGGAGGGGTTGGTGTCCCGGCCAAAGATGGAGGCCAGGTTGCGGAAGCCGCCGAAGGAAAAGTAGGCCATGAAGAGGAACTGGAAGCCAATCAGGAGAGCCAGGGTGCAAGGCCGGTCCAGGAATCGGCGGAGCATGGCGCTGGAGCATTGGATCAGCCGGGGACACGGGTTCTGTCGCCGGGAGAAAAAGAGTGAGAGACGGCCTGTGGCAAAAAGCAGATTTTTTTTCCTCCCATTTCCATCCTGCTTTTCCCCTCCTTCCTACTTTTCCCCCCACAACATCCCTGCCAGGTGGGCTCGATTGAGCGCGACGGGTCCAAAGTCCCCCCAGGGGACTCCTCCTCCTCCTCCTCGTTCCTAGTCCCAAAGGAATCAGCCTGCCGATGGGACACAGTCAGTCCTCGGCTTTACGACAATTTGTTAAGTTACGACGAGGCTGGAAAATGCGTCTCGGGATCGGCTTCCACGCCTGACGTGGTCACGTGATCAGAATCCAAAGGCTCGGCAACTGGCTTGTGTTTATGACGGTTGCAGTGTCCTGGGGTCACGTGGTTCCCCTTTTGCGACCGGTAATTTTCCGACCGGCAAAGTCGATGGGGGAAGGCTGATTCACTTAACGACTGCACGATTCGCGTAACATCCGCTTAACAATTGTGGCAACAAAAAAAAAAAGTTGTACAACGGGGCAAAACTCACTGAACGACTGCCTCGCTTAGCAACGGAAATTTGGGGGTTGTGGTCGTAAGTGAGGGACGATCTGTTAAAGGATTTATATTTACGCCTTTTCCCCTAACGTTCATTACCACAAGTCTGCAGGGTAGGCTGAGAGAACACAACATCCCAAAAGTCACATTGTGAAGAGACTCTATTTTACACACACACACACACACAAAGTCACATTTGTGGCTTTGCACAGACTTTGCCAACATCAGACTGTAAGAAGAGAGACTGGTCTGGATTACAAAGGAGATATACCAGTATTTGAGTCAACACTCAGGAATGTTGGAGGCCGGCAACTCCTGTTTGGTGTGTGGGCTTGTTAAGTTTCTAGTCCTCAACCCCAAAGTTTTCCTCCTCTGCTTCCTTCTGGTTTCCCGATACGCAGCAAATATCCAAAACACACAGATCGGCCCTCTCGCGAAAAGGCCGTCATTTCGTATCCTATTTTTTTAAGCATTATTAATTTACAAAACCTGCCGTGATATCGTGACAGCAATCTTTCCGCCCCATCCCACAAGCAAAATGCAGGGGGTTTTTTTTGTTTTTTTTTTTAAACCCCTCTAAACTGGCAAAAACCGGTTCGTTTTCTCTCGTCCAATCAGCAAATTCTGAATTTCCCATTTCAAACCTCCCAACGTGACTTGCTGGCAAGCAATCCCCAGCAGGAACGTTCTGCAAAATGAATAATAACAACAATATGTCCTTTATTTACTTCCCAGGCCACACCGTCAAAGAAAAGGGGTGTTCGAAAGAGAAAGGGGCAACTGGCAGAATTTCATAATATTTTGCAGAATTTAACTCTTAACTACAGGCAAGTCCTCAACTTACAACCTGCCTCCAGAAGCGGTGAATGCTCCAACACTGGAAGTTTTTAAGAAGAGACTGGACAGCCATCTGTCTGAAATGGGATAGGGTTTCCTGCCTGAGCAGCGGGTTGGACTAGATGACCTCCAAGGTCCCTTCCAACTTTATTATTATTATTAGTTCATTTAGTGACCGTTCAAAGTTACAACGGCACTAAACAAAGTGACTTATGACCACTTTTCAGTTAACAACAGAAATTGTGGTTCTAAATAGAGGACGACTTGTGTACGCAATCTCGTTACGGGCAGCCTGCAAATTTCCCCATTTTTATCGTGAAACCCACGTGGGAAGAGAGGGCAACGGGGAAGGCTTATAGATGTAATAAATCCAAATTAAATTAAATAAACAGAGGAGACTTCAGACAACGACTCTGCCCGGTTTCAGCTCCGGATTCCGGCTACAGGCTCGGGGAAAAAAACTGGGATTAATCTCGGAAGGCAGCCGGACGGCGTTTTCCAGCAGCTCAGCCTTAAATCCAGATTATCCCAAGAAGGCCGCAAGCCAAGGCCGGAATTAGGGAACGTAATCCCATCTGCTTTCCAGAACGGACATCAGAAATGTCATCCAGATGACAACGTATAGATAGTCCTCAACGTACGACCGCAATGGGGCCCGACACCTTTGTGGCTTAGTGAGACATTTGTTCAGTGAATTTTGCTCTGTTTTAAGACCTTCTTTCCCACCGTTAAGTGAAACTGGCTTCCTTATTGACTTTGCTTGTCAGAAGCTCGCAAAAGGGGGTCACATGATCCCGGGACGCTGCGACCGTCATAAACACGAGTCAGTTGCCAAGCAGGCTGCCATGGTCATAAGGTGGGTGGGGGGGAAACGGTCATTAAGTCACTTTTTCCAGTGCCGTTGCAATTTTGAACGGTCACTAAATGAACCGTCGTAAATCGAGGACTACCTGTAACCCGTTCCTTTTTTTTTCTGTTCCCCCCCCACACAATTTCCTTCCTTGCTTCCCAGCTCCCAAACTCAAGATCAGAGGAGCAAAAGAGTCCGATGTAAATTCCGAAACCGGCACCCGTGGTTCCCAATTTCACCTGGTTCAAAGCCAGCAAGATCAAAAGAAAGGAAGGGCAGTGAGGATGATGATGATCACAAAGTATCACTACTAATATCAATATAAAGTGGTTTCAAAATATACGTGTGTGTGTGTGTGTGTTAAATTTGGATTGCTAACAAAGAGTTAAAGGGAAGCTGGTATACCGTATAGTTACTTCAAGCTCCTTATATATATATATATATAACTTTGTTTATGTGCAAGTA